AGGTAGGACACTCCTGGATGTAGGCTTTGACAAAATCCTTGGACTTCGGCCAGACGTATAGGCGGCAAACACGAGCCAACGTCTTGTGGAAACCCATATGAACGGCAGTTGCCTGGTCATGGAACTCTGCTATAGCCTGGACGCGGAGCTGTCCAGTGGAGGGAACGCAGATACGTGGTTCTAGCTGACCAGATCTGCCATGCCAGTACACGAGGCCGCTCTCCCCGAGGGAGTAGGAACGGTCTTGCCACTCCACAATGTCGCGTGGATGACGCGATAATCAGGGCAGTGGCGGTACTGAGTGCGATATGCGTCAATCACTGACTGATCTACAGTGGTGATGGAGATGGCAGCAAGATGGATGGGTTCCTGATTGTGATCAAGACGGCGGGACAAGGCATCGGCGACGCGGTTCGTTTCACCCTTCATGGGCTGAGTGGTGAAATTGAACTCCGATAAGTCACGCCACCAACGTGCCTGTCGAGGGGAAAGCTTAGGCTTCGTGAGGAAAGCCTGGACAACTGAGTTGTCCGTGCGCATCGTGAAGGGCGCCCCGTGCAGATAATGACGCCAATGCCGGGTAACATAAACTACTGCGAGAACCTCACGTTCATCGGCAGTGTAGTTTATCTTGGCAGGCAGTAGCTGACGGGAGTAGGAAGCGATCGGGCAATCCCTAGCACGAGCCTCGACAATCCCATCCTCCGTGATGGTCGGGGAGTAAGTAACAAGAGGACTGTCAGTGGAGGGAAGTGGTGGGAGGGTAGGCGTCAGTCGAGAAGCAGTGTTTGCAGGAAGGGGGGGAAAAGGAGGAACATGGGGGTAAAGTGAATCTGGAGGAGAGGGAAACACCTGAGAAGGACAGCTCTTACTGCAAAATTTGACGCATCAGTGGTGACGATAAAGGGACGATCAAAATCGGGAAGGCGAAGAACCGGCGCACAGGTCACCGCCTTCTTGAGGGCGCGAAAGGCGTCCTCGCACAGGGGTGTCCAAAACCACGGCGGGTTCTTCCGAAGGAGGGTAGAGGTAAGGACGTAGGAATACCTAGCGTATCCCTGGATAAAATTACTATAGTAGCTGGTGAGGTCTAGGAAACTGCGAAGCTGCTTGGCAGATGTGGGGACGGGCCACTCTGCAATAGTAGTGATCTTCGCGTCGTCCATGTGGAGACCCTGGTCAGACACATGGTGTCCTAGGAAGTCCACTTTGCGTTGGGCAAAGTGACACTTACTGAGCTTGGCTTAGAAGCCATGCTTGCGTAAGCGTTGTAGGACGTCACGGAGGTGTCTGAGATGGTCTTCTAAGGTACGACTGTAGACCAGGATGTCATCCAGGTATACGAGAACGTATTCTTCAAGGATGTCCCTGAAGATGTCGTTCATCGTCGTCTGGAAGGTGGCGGGTGCATTGGTGAGGCCGAATGGCATCACCGTGAACTCGTAGTGGCCGAAGCGCGATCGGAAGGCGGTCTTCGACTGATCCTCTGCGGCAACACGGATCTGGTGGTAACCGCTACGGAGATCGATCTTCGTGAAGAAGCGGTTGCCTGCCAGACGGTCAAACAGCTCATCCGCGCGGGGCATGGGATAGTTGTTCCTAACCGTGTAACGGTTAAGGCTGCGGTAGTCGATGCAGAGGCGGAGAGTTCCGTCAGCTTTGCGAGCAAAGAGGACAGGTGCACCCCAAGGGGAGTTACTGGGTTTAATGAAACCCAGTCGAAGGAGCTCCTCAAGCTGACACTTGAGTTCCGTCGCCTCTGGAATCGAGAGTCAGTACGGTGCCTGATGGTGAACACGATAGTTAAGCACGAGTTGGATAGAATGCTCAACACCGCGCATTGGGGGAATCCCGCTGTATGAGAAGTACGGGGGGAAGATGTCGCGGTACTCTCGAATCAGGTCGCGAACGGCGGACTCTAAGTCTGTCGTGAACCGTGTGAGTTCCTCAGCGTCTGCGTCGGCACGAGACGTATGTGTGGACTCGACAGTCGACGGCGCAGAGGCCTGAGACATGGAGGGGGTATCCGCAGGCTGACGAGTGGATGTAGAGATGAGAGCCGCGAAGATGGAAGGAGGGTCAGGGGGATCGGGCTCCAGAGAGATGAGCTCAACCTCGGGACAGAGTGGATTGTAGCGAAAAAGATTCATGACGTTCACTGAGTAGAACGTCACGTCCTCCTGTTGTATGAAGTGAGCAAACTGACGAGGGGAAGTGAACGCGATGTTGGCGTGGGACCCTGAGGGACGAGGGTCTTGGGGAGGTAGGTCGGGCGGGGTGTCGCCCGTGGTTCCAATGAACGGGACGCGATGGGTCTGACCACACTTCGTTTTGAGAACGAGTTTCTCAGTCGCCCATTCGGCCTCTGTGCCACGGAACCGGCGAGACCAGGGAGTGCCAAGGATAAAGTCGTACACAGTCTCCAGCACGTCGAAGTATGCGGAGGAATGGTAGCGCCTAGGCGTCTGGGTACTATCCGATGGCTGGAGGGTGAGGGAGAAGTGGAGGTCGGGGACCGTTTGATCGAAGAAGCGTTGCGTCTTGTTATCTCCGAGGGTAACGGAGATAGGAGAGCGAGACCCAGAGGTAGCTAGGTGAGCTTCCACGCGAGGGTGAACGAAATCTCCCTGCGAGCCAGAGTCTCATAAAGCGCGGTACACCCTCGTAGATGTCCCTAGGCGAATAGGGATGATTGGTAGGGTGCGGTCAGGTCAGAGAGCGAGGCGAGAAGACGACGCAGGACGTTGATGTGTCTCGTGAGGCGCTCCTGACGAGCCTGCAGAATGCTCAAGTCCAGGAGAGATGACACAACGTCATCGCGGGTCGCCAGCTGAGCGCTACAACGGGCTGTGCGAATGGCGCGACGCGTCGGAAGTCTCAAGGGAGAAGCGCTAGATGCGGCAGTCTGCTGGGAGGCAGACGGTACCTCGACAGATGATGGGGCGGAGAAAATTGCGTCTGTCGTGTCCTAAGGGTCCTCTAGTGGGGTAGACAAAGGGGCAAACCGCGACTCGGTGGTCGGGAAGCCGGCTACGTGCGAGGCCTCAGGGGCACAGTGCACCGTGGCTAGGTGGATAGGGTTGGCCGGGCGGGGCCGGGGGGGGACTGAGATCGACGATGACGAGAGATGTCAGCGTAGTGCTGATCGAGGGCGGTATAGTATGGACACCGTGAGGAGGTGTGTCCATCTAGGCGGCAACGAAGGCAGCCGCGCCGGACCTCGAGGGCGGCACGCTCCTCAGGGGATAGAGCTCTGCGAGGAGGGACGTAACCCTGCGGGAGGTCTATCTGAGGAACCGTGGGTGTGCGGGCGCCAGCCTGTGCAACCCGACTGCGTGTACGGCCCATGGCAGACATGGCCATCTGCAGGCGCTCGGCCATTGGGACAGTGTCGTCATCCAAGTGGTACTGGATGAAGTCTCGAAGCTCGATGTCTTCGGGGGCGTCCCCAATGGTAGGATCGAGCTCGGCTGAGGCATCCTCTCCATACTCGAGAGAACTGTAGTGTCGAGCGAATGGCGCTCCAGGTCGAGCCGAGCGACGAAAACGACCAGCAAATGAGGAGCGGCCTCGGGTGGTACCCCGAGACTGGGAGGTGGCGGCTGGCCGCGAAGAGGATGGGGCGACGGAGAAGCGACTGCACATTCTCTGGTACTGACGCGCAACCTCGTATGCCTGCTCCGCGGAAGAGAATGATTGCCTCCATAGCTCTAGGCGGTGGTCAGTCGGCTGGCTGACAAGGAACCGGTCGGTGAGTGTGACCTCCGGTAGGAACGTCTCGTCACAAACAAGGCGAGCGTCCTGAA